GTTGTTCACGTCTTCACTGCTAGTTTCCTAATCATCCTCTACAGGTAGCCTGCTCAGATCTCTACTCCGAATGGACTAGCTTTAAAAAAATAAACAAAATAAAATTAATTTTGGGAACACACAAACACAATAAATTACTACTCTTTTGTGGAAAAATATAAAGTATGAGACCGCACCAGGTAGATAGAAACTTTATAATTCAAGTCAAACCTTAAACTTGCATGCATCCATGAAATGGAAACAAACTTCCTTATCCTATATTTTCCATACAACATCTTATAAACTCCTACAAGCAACTTTTTATAAACTCCTACAGGTAATCAGTTTAGAGTCATGTAGGAGTTCTGGTACTAGAATCACTCATCTCACTCTGATGTGCATAGTGATATGTAACATGTATAGCAAAATCTATATTTTCATGTGTACTCCGGGGGGGGGGATTTAGTGCTTGGGTGGAACTTTATTTTTTTCAATTTTTAAACTTAACTTCTTTTTTTTTTTCATAAAAAAAAAAGGTCTTTTTTGGTAACAGGTTCTCTTTAATGAGAATTGGAATGCAGATCTCATTCAATTAGCTTCTGATGCAGCCATACAGGCTGGGGAAAGTGAAAGGGGGACCCAGAAGTGATGTTTTACATTTTCCGGGTCAGCAAGAAGAAGGGGAGAAAAGTGGATGGATGTCCGCTCTGCTCCATCCACTCTATTCAGCAGCACATGGCATGCCGGTCCAGGGCTTGCAGATGCGTGGGGTGTATGGAGCCCAGGATACATGGTGGAGACATGCGCGTACAGAGGCTTAAATGAGGATAGGGTCGCTTCATTTTTATATATTTTTTTAAAAAGGTTTCTTCATAATGCCCCCACCCCCTTCCAAATGTTAAAGGCTTTCTTCCACTTCAATGCATTTTGAATCCTAGTAAAAGTGTAGGACCCTCTGACATCAAACTTAGAGAAGATGTGAGCACCCCAGAGTCTGTAAAAGAGTTCAGAAATCAGTAGAGGAGGTTAGTGATTCTTAACATTGATGGCACTGAGGTTTCTATGGTCATTTTCAGCAAATAAAAATCAGCCCCCTGTGGGAGAAATGGGAGTCTTTTTGCAGATTTTCCTGGATATACTCAGACAAGGCCTGTTTTTCGGTGATGGATACTGGATAAACACTGCCATAAAGGGAAAGAAGTTTCTGACAGAAGATTAATGACCAGCTGAAGGTTCAATGTGGAGGGAGACAATCTTCAGCCTTTATACAAAAAAATATTGCTGAAGAACTGGTAGTATAAAGGAAGTATCAGAGTATAGGTGGTTTTGGATAAATGGAAAGAGAGAAAAGGTTGCACCTTAGGTAGACAACTATTAAGACAATTAGGACCCGAAGACAAAATCTGTCCAGTGTTTAAGTCCAGATGAGGCAAGTGTCCTTGCAACCAAGGGAGACCTAGAATAATGAGACTAGTTGATTAAAGAAGAAATATTCAGAAAATATTTTTCACAATGCAAATCTCCCATGTGCAAAGCTAAAAAGGGAGTTTTAAAGTTGAAAAAAAGAGAGTTTTCCCCAAGGGTAGAGTTGTGCACTGCAGATGCTGAAAGGAAAATAGGAAAGCCCAACTTAGAGGTCAAAGATTGATTGTTTGGAGTTCCTGTTAGCTGCAGAGTCCACATATGTGGAGAGTTGATGAGCATTAAATGCCCAGTAGAGAGAAATGAGCAGGATGATCTGAGATTTCCCAGATTAGTGGAATAGGCCTTCAACATGGTGCGAGACATGCACCCAAGCCTTAGAGGGCTCCATGGAACTTGGCTGTACAAGAGGAAAAAGAGGTTCCAGAGTCTTATAGAAATCGGGAGCTAGCCAGACAGATGAAGGGTGATGTAGCCTAAATCCCTTGAAAGCTCGCTCCTGGAAACAAACATCTTTCTGGATTCAAAGGGCAAACAAGTCATCCATGGTAGTTGGGAAGACTTTTCTGGCAAGCTCATCCTTCATATGTTCAAAAAATAGCTGTAAGGACCTCCTTGTTTAAGGTGTAGGAGAGAAACAGATGAGGCTTTATCAGGCTCATAGAAGGTTTTCCAGAAGGTGCCCAAGAATGTAAAAAAGCTGGAGACCATTGGATCTTGTCATTCCTACAAAGGGTAGCCCAGACCAAGGCATCAATGGAAAGGAGAGAAATGATATACACCAACTAGGAACAGTTGTTAGGGAACTGGTGACCTGGAAGTTTTAAATGAATGGAGCACTGCTTAATGAAGCCCCAACATGCCTTTGGTTACCAGAAAAACTGAGCAATGGAGGCAGTTGAAGAGAGGAGATGCTAAATGAAGGGGAGCAGAGTGACAGCCGGTGGAGCTGGAGCAGAGGAGGGGGTGTGCTGAGATAATTGTGGCTTGCAGTCAGTGCAGGCAGGTGGAAAACTCCTGTAGACACAGGATTAATGTGCTCTTGGTTGGCCCGGCTAGGAGTCAATCTTCTACTTTATGTACCGTGTTTGAATTTAGGTCGCTGGTGAGGTCTCCAACAAATTCATCCCAATCATTCATTCAGCAAACTGTCAGAAGGCTGCAAGAAGTAATCCCCCCAGATGCAATAGTATTATGGAATTCCTCAGGGTGTGCAGTTTTCACCAGAGCTTATGATGCTGGGGATGGGTTTCACTGCATTCTGGTATCAGTCCTCAACTTGTTGGTTCACTCTGCTCAACCTGTGGAGACTAACCCATGCATGTAGGAGCAGATGCATTGCAGGTGCACAGGTGGGTCTAAAAACAGATAGCAACAATAAAGGGGACCTAGGTCTCAGAAAACCCCTTAGAAAATCCATTTATTGGGGGTCAGTTGGAAAAATGCTCTTAACATTGATGGTCAGTGGGAAGAATGCCCGCTACTTAGTGGTGGTCAGAGTGAAGCCCTTACAAACAGTTAAAAAAGCAGTGTTGGCCCAGAAACTGATCTCCCTCTGATGGTGCTGGCTCAATCAGAATTGGCCTCTGAAGGAACCCTAGGGTTCTACAGAATGCTGGTTGACAATGGCTGGCCTACACTGGCCATTTTTCTTTTTTTTAATGCAACCTTTTGTTGATTTTTCAGAATATCCAAGTCATTTCAATAAGATTGATATACCTATAAAATAGAGGGTGTCTACTTAAAAAATATGTTCACTTAGCTTAGGAAATAAGGTGAAGCTGATTTCATTTAGGTCATCCAATAACATAGAGAAAACTGTAAAGTACAAAAAAACATTTATTCAAAGTGAACACAGCTTTTCCTCAGTGAACATACATTGAACAAGTTGTATTAAATCAACCTCAATATTTCTAAATATTCTAAAATGCCATATAGTTAAATTTGGTTGTTTCCTTGTTTTCCTTTAGTTTTATTTTTTCATGATTGGACAGATAATGTGTTAACCTTTGAAGAATAGTCTCCATACATTTCTAGTCTCCATACAATTCTATAGTGTCTGGAGAAATCTAAAAGAACATTTTAATTGTTATTGAGATTTCCAGTTCTCCAAGGTAAGTATTCTTGTGTGTTTTGAAGCAGGTATAAAATGGAGCCTCTTGTGAAAATATTACACTTTCACTGCTTTATTTGGCCTTCGTAGACACATACTATTTATGATCAATAAACATACATATTTCTTTTAACATTGATTTTCTTTTCTGAAAAATGGTAAGTAATCCTCTTTTTTTCAACACACTTTAAAGTGAACATTATTACAATTTAACACCCAATCGAGCAAAAGACATAAATAAACAGGAATTTGCTTTACAGATGATTAAATAATTTCTTTAGTAAAAACAATCAACTGCTTTTGTAAACCAGTCTCAATATATTTATTTATTGATGCAAACTATGCATTCTTAAGATTTTCTCTATGCTCTGACAATTATCTGTTTTTTGCTATTCCTCAGTTTGTAATAATTTGTATGTGGTATAGCTGAGACAGTGATTCTTAAATCTGACCTTTAGTGACTAATACTGGGAAATAGAATACAAATTGTAGGTTAACTAATTGGGGAATTCTATAAAACATGTGTGGTTAATGTTATAATACTTAGTCTACTTTAAGTTGCTCCCTTGCTCATTTAAAATGGTATTTTAAAATGATTACAGATTTTTGTAATGCAATCCTTAGCCAAAAAAGTAACAAAATAAAAAAAATAACTTTTTTTCTGTTTGACCTGCTTTAGTTTTAAAAAGATATTTAAATTTTTTTTTTTTTTTAAATAAAACTGGTCAAAAAAGAAAAATGTTATGTTAGAGCAGGAGTAGGCATTCTTTTGAGCTCAGTGTGCCGAAATTGAGAGTGCCAGCAACATAGAAATAAATGTCAACTTCACACTCTCAATCACGGAAAGCCATTTTTATAAAGTAAATGCTGTAAACTACTTGAAAAATAATAAGAAAAAATAATATTAAGCTTTCAAATATCAATGATAAATGGTGACATAAATGGTAACTTTTCCAAGTGATTAGAGGTCAAGAATATTGGTTCAATACTTCTTTCATATGAGCCCCATTTTCTACACCTTTACACTTCAGATCAGGCCCAATTTTTCTACACCTTCAGATCTCAAATGAACCCCACTAAATGCCCCCTCACATCCAAGATCATGTCCAATTTCTGCAAATGAGCCCCAAATTCTTCACCTTCATACCTCAAATCAGGTCCAATTTCTGCACCTTCACACCTCAAATCAGGCCCAGTTTCTGCACCTTCACATCTCAGATCAGGCCCAGTTTCTGCACATTCACACCTCAAAATAGGCCCAATTTCTGCACCTCCATTTCTCAAATGAGCCCCAGTAAATGCACCTTTACACCTTAGATTAGCCCCCAGTTTATGCACCTTCAGATCTCATTTGAGCCCCACTTTCTGAATCTTCACACCTCAGATCAGGCCCAATTTCCACACCTTCACACCTCAGGTTAGCCCCAATTTCTGCACTTTCACACTTCAGGTCAGCTCCAATTACTTCACCTTCACACCTCAGGTCAGGCCAAGTTTCTGCACCTTCAGACCTCAAATGAGCCCCAAAGCATGAACATTCATACCTCAGCTCAGACCCAATTCTTCATCTACAGATTTCCTTTGAGCCCCAGCGCATACTCCTTCACACCTTAGATAAGACCCAATTTATGCACCTTTGCACATCAAATCAGGCCCAATTTCAGTACCTTCACACCTCAGATTAGGTCCAATTTCTGCACCTTCAGATTTCACGAGCCTCAATTTCTGCACCTTCACACCTCAGATCAGACCTAAATTCTGCACCTTCACACCTCAGATCAGACCTAAATTCTGCACCTTCACACCTCAGATCAGACCTAAATTCTGCACCTTCACACCTCAGATCAGACCTAAATTCTGCACCTTCACACCACAGATCAGGCCTAAATTCTGCACCTTCACATCTCAGATCAGACCTAAATTCTGCACCGTCACACCTCCGATCAGGCCCAATTTCTGCACCTTCACACCTTAGGTCAGCTCCAATTCCTGCACCTTCACACCTCAGATCAGCATCAATTCCTGCACCTTCACACCTCAGATCAGCATCAGTTCCTGCACTTTCACACCTCAGATCAGCCCCAATTCCTGCACTTTCACACCTCAGATCAGCCCCAATTCCTGCACCTTCACACCTCAGATCAACCCCAATTCCTGCACCTTCCCACCTCAGATCAGCCCCAACTCCTGCACCTTCAGAACTCATATCAGGCCCAAATTCTGCACATTCTGATCTCATATAAGCCCCAATTTCTACACATTCACACATCAGTTCAGACCCAGTTTCTGTATAAATACAACAATATTTCACAGGCTCCAAAAAAAGAAGCCATAATGTTCTCACTGGGCATGTAGTAAGTAGTTCCCAGTTTGGAACCTGTGAAAATGTATTGTTTTCAAAAATGCACAAGTACAGTAACTTAACCCTAATAATAAGTACAAGATGTGTGTATGGCTGCTGCAATGCAAAATTCATACCTAGCTAAAAGCCAGCTGCTACAAAGAGGGCTGTATTCTCAGGTGCTGGGGGATAAAAGCATCAGCTGCAACAGTGGCATCCCTGCCCCCTCCTATCTCCTTGCCCATTCACAAAAGGCCTTTTTTTTAAGATACGTGTTCTGTGAATGAAGGAAGAGAGATCACATTGCAACCCTATAGCTTCCATTCTCCATTCACAGAACACCTTGCATTCCCCTTGGACAAAGAGATGGGAGGGGGTGGGGATACCACTGTTGCAAGTGCTACTCAGCACCTGAAAATACTGAAGTATCTGTAGGAGGCAGCTTGTAGCTAGGTATGAATTTTGCACTAATCAGCAACCATACACACTTCTTGTATTTATTAATAGGGCTATAATACTGTACTTATGCGTTTTTTTAAAACTTTTTTATGTGTGTGAAAAAGAATTCATAATGTTCCCACTGTACAGGTAGTTAGGACTTCAATATTAATTTACAAGTGGTTCTCACGGAAATGCATGGGTTGGAATGTAATGTTCGTGTTTCCATATTTGTGTTTTGACAGTCCATTCATTTGAATGGGCTGCAAAATGCACCGGATCACACAAAAAGTAGTGCACCAACTGTGCAAAAACACATTGCACCAAAACCACGTTACTGTGGTGCCACACAGTTTGATGCCCACAAATGCATTTTGTTTGCAGTCCACAATTGGGGTGTCATTAGCAATACATTGGCATTCACATGTCGGCTGCAAGGGCAGGACTTTTGAATGCAGTGCAGGAAACACGCACACACCTTTCTCGCACTGCATTCTGGTGTAAACCAACCTTTGGTTGGTGTTTTCTAAGAGTAGTAGTTACCAAACCTGTTCTAAAGTAGTAGTTTCTGCTGTTGGGCACTATTACTTTAGAACCAGGTTTGGTACCTACAACTTTGATCCCACTTTAAAACAGGGTTGGTAATTACTACCTTGGAACTTCTATTGGTTCTAGAGTTGTAGTTTCCAATAGCTGTTCACACAGTTGCATCCCAAAACTTGGACAGAGAGTAGATACAACCAGTCCTCTTTAATGTTTCCTCTTTAAGTGGGTGGATGTGAACGGTGTGGCCAATACCTTATTGAAACAGTAAAACTGTTAGAAGCTAATTTACTGTGACCAGCAGTGACCAAAACATCCGTGCTGATATCTCTGTAGGTTGGCGGGATATGCAGATGGGCAGTAACTGTGGCCAGTGGAAGCCAACCCATCCATGCTGCATTCTATGTATGTGGGTGGGAGTTCAGCAGGTGGGCAGGAACTGTGGCCTGCGGGAGTCAAACCATCCTTGCTGCTTTCTATTTGGGTGGGCAGGAGCTGAATCGAGCTGGTGGAAACTGAGACTGGTGGGAATAATCCACTCTGCTTTCTTAAAATAGAGCTGTAGGCTGGCTTTATTGAGTGGGAGATGGGTCTCCCAAGAAATCCCCTAGCGTGCCATCATAAACCAGAGGCTGCCGACCCCTGTGTTAGAGAAAAAGTTAAACTATTTATCTTATTTAAAAATTGCACTGAAAATATAATTTTGGTTAAAAGCATTTCAAAGTTATTTACAACTGAAAATATGATTTTGGACCAAAGCATTTCAAAGTTATTTACAAATCAAATAAAGGTGTTTTTAGTCTCTTCCCATCCGCCCTATAGCAGAAGTACTGCTACAGGACAGCACAAATGCACAAAATCACGTATATATACGTGATTTTGCATTTCCGGGTACAGGGTGCACGCCCTAGCCGTGCTGCCATTCACGGTCTCGGCTGTCAATCACCGAGTCCAGGCCGGTGAATACTCACCTGTGCCTGGTGAATGCCAAGCATCTCAGATGGGGGGGCGGGAAGAACTGTTTGTAAACAAAACAGTTCTCTCCCCTGTCAGCTCCTGCACACTGCTTTGCATGGCTCTGCATAGCACAGCCGTGCAAAGCAGTGAGCTTACAGTGATGCACAAACACAGCCACAGAGGTACAAATGGCACACACTTAACCCTTTGATCACCTCATGTTAATCCCTTCCTGCCCAGTGCCATTAGTACAGTGTCAGTGCTTTTTATTAACACTGATCGCTATATTGGTGTCACTGGGGATGCTAGTGACACAGTCAGTTCCCCCCAGTGTCAGAATGTCCACTGCAGTCCCACTATAAATTGCTGATCACTGCCATTAATAGTAAAAAATGTTTATAAATCCCAGTATGTATACCGCATTTATAAATGCTATAACTTTCACGTAAACCAATTAATTTACACGTATTGGGATTTTTTTTAGCAAAGACATGTCACAGAATACATTTTAGCCTAAATTTATGACAAAACTTGATTTTTTAAAATGTTTTACTGGACATGTTTAATAGCAAAAAGTTAAAAATATTGTTTTGTCAAAATTGTTGGACTTTTTTTTATAGTGCAAAAAATAAAAAACGCACAAGCAATCAAATACCATCAAAATAAAGCTCTATTTGTGGGGGAAAAGGACATAAATTTCATTTGGTTACAGCATTGTTTTTATAGGTACATCTCCAAGACTTTTATCCAGATTCCAGTTTTACTTCATACTGACTCAGGAAGCAGTGAAGCCAATGCAGTATCATGACAGCCAGGCATCTAGCATTTTCAAAAGGAATGGCCACAAATGGCAATCTGTAAGATCCTCTAATCGTAGCTACCTGTTAGTCCTACCAAAGTGGCTCAAATCTTTTAGTGTGAACTTTCAGAAGGTTCACATCAAGATCCAAAGGAAAGAATTTGCCTTTATCTATTAAAAAATATGTTCTAGTAAAAGGAACAGAACCTTTGATTTCATCTGTTGCTTATCCATGTCCATGTGTGTACAGTAGAATCACATAAATTAAGTACGGAGTTTTGAGGGAAGAGGGTTGGATAGAGCTACATATGGGAATCACCAACCTACCCCAACTGAAGTAAAAGAAGAAAGGCAAGAAAAGGTTCTTAGCTGAACCTTTCCTTTTTATTTATGTAAACCATCAGGCTGTATAAAGAGTAAGGCTCCATTTACATTTGTACATTAAAGTTGCATGACAAGTTGCAGTCCATCCTTTTCAATGGCACCAGTTCAAATTGGTGCGGCTTCAAGTCACGGCGATTTTGAAGAGGTGCCTGTGCTACTTTTGATGCAACTTTGGTCCAGAGAATGTAGAGTCAGATCAAATTCACACCAAAAGACACATCAGAGTCACACTCCAAAGTCGCACTGGAAATCGTGCTCTAATGTAAATGGAGTCTAAAGGATATTATGACAGACCCAACCTGGACACAGGGGCTTTTGGGGGAGACTGCAGGCTAGGCTGTTGCCTATTGACCATGGCCCTGGCATCTGAGGGGGCTCTAATCTTTGGTGTGTGCCTGGGGGAACCTGTAGAGAAGTTTACTTCGGATTCAAGTCCATGTCTCCCCAAAACACACAGACCTGGAGGGCCAGGATACAGATTTGGGGTCTCTGTGTCCAAACCAGCATTGACTGCTTAAACCCCCTCCCTTTCCTAGTCTCAGAGAAACTAAGAAGATGTTAATATAATCAGCTTAAATCAAACCTGATGCTGATGACTCTTGATGTAATCTGGTTATTAGGTGTTATGTATTTACTGTCTTTCCCCCATTGTGTGCTGTCTAGATGTGCATTCCATTGTTAATTGAGTTACTTGAGTCACCTATTGTTTGTTTGTTGGCAAATCCTCTTTGAGGCTCCTGCCTGATGAGATTACTCTGATGTCAGCTTCACCGTGTTACCTAATCAGCTTGGGAAGTTTATCCTAATGTATAATATTTGTGTTTATTGTTCATGTGGGGACTGCACCTATTTGTGAAGTGTATAAAAACCTGAGATTTTTGTTGAATAAAGTACTGTAGTTCCATTTTGGCATCTAAGCCTGTGTCACCTAGTCTTGCATGCAATGCTCGGATATATTTTCTTGTTCCTGGATCTCAGCAGTGAGCAAGCAGATCTCTGACGGAATCACCCAATCATGGTGACAATCACAGATATATTATTTCTATGTTTTTCATGTACTATTGTGCTTCAGCACTTGGTAAATGTTACCTGTGTCAGAGGTTGGACCACTGCTCAACACAAACCTTAGCAGTCAGGACTTCCATTAATCTGACATGCCCCCTGCACAGTGCTCCAATAAACAATGCTCACTCTTAGTAAGCAGTGTTGATAATTGGAGCAGTGTGCAGCAGTCATGTCACTCAAGTTCGCTCTTTGATTAGCATCAGTTTGGATCTTCAACATACTTCCGGCACAGAGAATTTTATCAAAAAGGCTTCAATACACTAGTACATTAAAATAATAAAAACAACTTATACATCGTTTGTTGCTTCTGCAGCTTGAATGCATTACTGTAGCTGCTAATGAAAATGAAAAAAATATATACATAGGCAATATTCAACTGTGTAGTAACACAAAGTGTAATTCGTTTTTAGCAGTGTAAAATGTGATATGAAAGCCACATTAAGTGTTTTTGTACTTATTAGTGCAAAAATCACTGTCACTGAAATGTACATTTTATTACCTTAAAATACACATAACTTATTAAAAAAAAGTTTAATTTGCAGAAAGCAGTGGAAGAGCTGAATCAGACATTTGTCACAGAGTTTACACTTCTGGGAATCACCAACCTACCCCAACTGCAGATATTGCTTTTCTTTACTTTTCTTTTGTTCTACCTCTTCTGTTTTGTTGGGAACTTAAGTATTGTAGCATTAGTGATTATCGATCATGGCCTTCACACCCCCATGTATTTCTTCCTTGGCAATCTTTCCTTCTTGGACTTCTTTTACTCTACAACAACCGTCCCAAAGTTGTTATCAGGTTTAATCATGGAAGATAAAAGGATATCTTTTCAAGGCTGCATAGTCCAACTCCATGTATTTCATTTCTTGGGTAGCACTGAGGCCATGCTTCTTATGTCAATGTCTTATGACAGATACGTTGCTATTTGTAACCCATTACGGTACCATATCCTTATGGCGAAAGAAGCATGCATTCAATTAGCTCTCACTTCCTGGCTCATTGGTTTCTTGTATTCATTATCACACACAGTTCTTACTTCTAGATTGCCATTTTGTGGTGCCAATAAGGTCACTCACTTTTACTGTGATATCAAGCCTCTACTCAAGCTGGCCTGCACAGACACCCATATCAATGAAAGTCTGGTGACTATAATCACTGGTACTGTGGCACTTGGCACTTTTATTTTAATTGTTATATCATATATCTTTATTGCGACCCATCTTAAGAATATCCAGTCTAATCAAGGCAGAAATAAAGCCTTATCCACTTGCACTTCCCACTTCACTGTTGTCCTTTTGTATTACGGGACTGCATTCAGCACATACTTGAGACCAACCACAAAAGATTCACTTGAACAGGACAGAATGAGTGCAATACTCTTTACAGTCATCACTCCTGCGTTAAATCCTCTGATCTATGGGCTAAGAAATAAAGAGGTAAAAAAGGCACTAAGGAAATTTCTATTTGACAGTCATATTTTCAAAAAACTATTATAAAATATTTTACTACGGTAGTATAACATTTTAGTGGATTTTTAATTTTATGAGTATTATAAGCAAACTGTCATATTTTTAAGTCAACATTCTATTGTTTTGTTTTGTGTAAATAACATAGAAACTAGAATAAATATTTTTAAAATACCTGGTTCTTGTTTGGCAAAGAAGTGTCCCCAGAAGAATGTCCAGACTGGATTTTACAGCTTTTGTCCCAATAAAGTTAGTGTAAAAGGGAAACAACTTGAAACCATAGTGCTAAGAACTCCCAGAGATGCCAGACCAAATTTATTCAAAGAGAATTGTCACTGTGCCGTCCAGACTGGGTAATGTTAATGATACTGTCCTTTTAAGATCAGGGAAACTTGCAACTCTACAAACAAACAAAGGGTGCAAATGCCCAGTGCATTATCCACAGCACTTTATTCACAAATAAAAATGTTGAAACTATCCTCACAACAGAATGTAAATTACAGCTTTGTACATATCCCAGGAACCCAAAGGTCAGCCTACTGGAATCTGTTCAAATGGATGTCTTGAAAACTCACTGACACATTTCGAGGGACCTGTTTCCTTACCCTGCCTTTCTCCAATGCACTTAGCACTTAAATCAACAACCTACTGATTGCACAGTAAAGTAGCATTTCAACAATGAAGTCAATATATTGGTATGTTTCCTTAAGAAAATTAAGGGCTATATTGTGAAATAAAGTATACCTTGACTGCCTCACAGTGCTCTCCTCTCATCCAGTCCTGCAGGAGATAAAAAAAATGCATATTAAAATGCTAATGTATGGTGGTCCCTAAAGTGGTTGTAAAGGCTCAAGGTTTTTTACAAGCTGTTACCTCTGGGGACAGCCCACAGGAGGGAGGGGCCAGGAGCGCCTGAGGAGGACCCAAGAAGAGGACGATCTGGGCTGCTCTGTTCAAAACCACTGCAGAGAGCAGGTAAGTATGATGTAATTGTTATTTTTTTTTAAAAATGAAGCCTTTAACCACTTCCTAACTGCGCTATAGTCGAATGACACCTACAGCGCTGTTATCCAGTTCTGGGAGGGCATCATATGACATCCTCCCAGAACATGCCCTCACGCATGCCCCCAGTGGCACGCACCTGGCGATCTCCATGATCCCTGTGTCCTATGGACACAGCTGATCACGTGATGAGGTAAAAGGCCAGTCACAGTGGCCTTTTACCATGTGATAAGGTGTGTCCAATCACACAGCAGATCATGGAGTAAATACAGTTGCCGGTTTTCAGCAGCACTTTCATCATGCTGTCACAGCTTGAGGAAAGTACTGCTGATAATGGGCAGCTGTCACGGAACAGATTGGCAGTGATGATCAGTGCCCTGAAGTGCTGTCCAGCAGTGCCACCCACCAATGCACCTCAGCAGTGCGGCAAGTCAGTGCCATCCATCAGTGTTGCCAATCAGTGACCATCATTGCTGCATATCAGTGCAGCATCACCAGTGCCTCCTCATTGATGCCCACCAGTGAAGCCTCATCAGTGCTGCCTATCTGTGCCACCTCATCAGTGCTGCCTATCAGTGCAGTCTCATCAATGTGCATCAGTGAAAGAGAAAAATTAACTGTTTGCAAAATTTTATAATAGAAACAAAGAAACTTTTTTTTTTCAAAAGTTTTGCTCTTTTTTTGTTTATAGTGCAAAAAATAAACACCCAGTGGTGATTGAATACCACCAAAAAAAATCCTTATGTATATGAAAAAAGGATAAAAACTTCATATAGGTACAGTGTTGCATGACCACACAATTCAACAGCGCTGAAAGCTGAATATTGGCCTGGGCACGAAGGGGGTAAAAGTGCCCAGTAGGCAACTGGTTAAAGGTTCAGTTCACTTCTAGTCCATTTGTTTACATGCCCTGATGAAGTGGGAAGTTTTTGGACCCCCAAAATGCTCGGTAGACAAGTGGTTAATATTGCTTTAAGGATATGTTGTAAATGTCCCTCAAGAGGCATAGAAACAGGAGGAACAATGAAAGTACTGTACAAGCATCACACAGTCATTGTCTTAAAGAGATGGGATGCGCCTGGATTTATCTAAATGTTATGTATTTTGCACAAATAAATATTTTGTTTTATTTTTTGTAATAAAATTTCACAATTGTAGCTGTCAACTTTAAATTTGCTTGTACTTTTTTTTTTTGCTTTTCCTTTTTTTTATTCATTATATGTATATATTGCCACCTAAGAAAATAAAAATATAATAGTTTATTTACTTTATATGACTAAATAGAAAACTACATGACAAACAACTGTGTATTTGTGTAGAGATTCTCAAAGGGGGAGGCACTGTAAACTGGTGAGTCAAGTGTTAGAATAGGGGTTTCCAAACTCTCTGAATAAAGGGTCAGTTTACTGTCCTTCAAACTTTAGGAGGGTTGCACTGTGGCCACTGGGAGTAGAAAATGTCCTTGTGTCAAAGGGAGTAAACAATGCCCTATCGTTTATTTTAGTGGAAGGAATACTGCTCCCAGGGCCAGATAAAGGCAACTAGAAGGTCAAGTTCAGCCCCAGGGCCACAGTTTGGAGGCAACTGTGTTAGAGTGGCATATTACAAATCAAATGTATGAATAAGTCCATGCTAGCTTATTCCTCATGCTGTGATCAATAGTGTGGGTAACAGTGGACCTGTAACATGCTAAACCCAATGGTTAATTATAAAAGGCCCATCCCCCCTTATACACCAAATAACCCTATACACGTGAAGCTGTCCTCCTATAGTGATAGTGTAACAACAAATGAATAAAAACAACAATAGGTAAATAATCAGGCGCTACAGAATTTAAACACAATCACACCCATATAAGATTAGACCATAAAATTGTGTAAAAGTCTCCCAAAACAGTCCACTGCACCACCATGCAATATGTTTTCCATGCTTGAGTAAATACTGTCCAACTGCCACCATACGGTGTTGATCTTCTGCCCAGTGGAATGCTGTTAGGGATCCTACAGCAGTAGCCTCCAGCACTCCACAGACCGGAATCCCCCAGGGCACAGAATCTAAGCCCCAACCTGCTTGTTCACCAGGGCCCCTGATGGTGGGGATGGACTTGGAGCAGGCCAAGACCAGGTTACGGCCCCTGGGTTCACCCAGCTGTGGTAGAAGCACCGTTGGAGGTGTATAGCAGGTCAGAGCCTGATGTGAGGAGGTAACAAGAGCAGCATCAGGCAGACCGGGTCGGTAACGGTGGTGGCGGTGTAGTACAAAATCAGCAGGCAGAGGGATAAACAGGTCACAAGCCAGGTTCGGAAACGAGATCAGGACGTGCAGGGTTAAGCAGGAGAATGGTCAGACAAGCCAGGGATCAGGACAGGAGACAGACAGCAAATCAGGGTTGGGCAGGGTCGCCAACAAGACAATCTACTATTCAGGAACTCAGGAAACAGGTAAGACCATACGGCATTTACACACAGTCCTAACCTGTTTTAAATAGGGCGCCCTGATTGGTGCCAGGCTCGCGCCCGCGATTGTGAGTGCGCATGCGCGAGCGCCGCTGCAATCGTGGGTGCCCTGGTCCCAATGCTTGCACGCTAGTGCGGCCAGGCACACCACGCATGCGCAGACACACGAGTGATCACAGCAAACATTGGGGTCCCTGAGAAATGCACGTGGATCCCGGGAGGGACCTCGACTTGCACTTGGCTGTTTTCAAGAGTGCCAATTGTGGACACATTAATATGTGAGTACATTTTATGAAATGTTATGCCTTTTATATCTGAATAAACATACTACACTATAAGATATCTTTCTCTGGTTGGTAGCTTGTTGTTGAATTGGAGGGGAATTTTCCTGCAAGTGAATAAGGAGGAGACAATACAGATAGCCAGCATGCTTGGATGAATAGCTATATTATAAAGTGGTTTTTGACCTTTAGTCAAGTACGAGTCACAGGAGTGTCAGTGAGTATTTTACACAGAGGTGTGGATCTTGGTGGCAGTGGCACAGTATTTACTTAAGGAGCATGGAAGACATATTGCATGGTGGTGCGGTGGACTTTTTTTTGAGACTTTTACACAATTTTATGGTCTAATCTCATATGGGTGTGATTGTGTTTAAATTCTCTAGCACCTAATTATTTTCCTATTGTTGTTTTCATGCTAAACCCAATGTTGCTGCCGAAGTAGAATAAGTGGGCATTCTGCTAGGTGTACTTCAACCCTCTTAGTTGAGACACCTTTGCTTAGACATTTCACAGTCACCTATTGGCAATGAAAAAGGACACAAAGGTGAGGAGATCTTATGGGAAATCTACAGGACACATGCTCTCCTTTTTAGTTGGGACACCTACCGTAAGTGGGGAAGTAAAATCCAGTCTAGGATGTATTAACTACACTCTTTCCACAGCAATGGTACTGAAAACAAGTAGATACATACTTTATTATACACTTGATTTCAATAACCACTGACTCTCCTGTTTACAAAGTTTTTTCTGTTTGTACATTTCTACATGAACATATGGTTTTCTTATGTCATAAAGTTTCCTCTTTATGGTGTTCTTTAACCTCCCTAGCGGTCTGATTATGTCAGTATTTCTGTGCTCAAAGTGGTACATTTTTTTGCATGGAAATATGTTGTTTTTTTATTGTAGGCCTGTAATTCTTAGGAATAACTCACTGAAATCTGTCCGAACAAGAGTCTAGTAAACATCCCAGGTATGATAAAATTTGAAACATGAAATCATAAAATTATAATATAATAAATAATCATAAAAAATAATACATTAATATAATTTAATTCAATAATGTAATCAAACCAAAAACACTGAAATTTGAAATGGAGCACCAAGTTCACACATCACTGAGCTCAGTTGCAGAATCGTTTACTATCGCTGTTTTCTAGCTGGTCTAAAATCGCGTTTGACCTAAAGGGACACTTTTTAGACGCCATGGACTTTTCTCAGTTTCCAGGCAGAAAGAACCGTAAAAATGCAGGCAGGGCGCAGG